AAAAAAAAAAAAAAAAAAAAAAGACCCTTAACTCATACAACAAATGTCAACAGGTACCTTTCTTTCAAGCATATCACAGTCTTGGCAATGTGCTCAGCTCCCCCGTCAGGCACATCTAGAAAGAAAAGAAGTTCTTGTTCAAGCTATGCCACACTTAGCTGGAGCCTGGCACACTGGCACTCTACTAACCATCTCGATCCACCGACGTCAGGACAACGTAATCCAGACCCCACTCTGAAATTGCTTTGGCCGTGTTGTAGGGCTCATCGGCGTCCAGCGGAGGGGGGTTTCTTGCGGTCTTCACAGAACAAAATCTGCAACCTCTTGTACAAGTGTCCCCCATCAACTGGAACAGAGACGTTACAATTTAAATCAGATGACCCTCAGGAATACAATGCCAAAACAAATGGCAAAGAACATCAACAGAACGATTCTGTCTAGAAGGAATCTGAAGCATTCCAAATGAAATAATAGATGGCTAAGGAATACAAATTTACGTGGAAAAAGAAATTGATACACTCAAGTAAGTGTTAAGGAAACTGGAGGGGGCATAGGATCAGGAGAGAAGATTTGAATTTTATCATTAAAGGGGCCAGCGAGATGGCTCACTTGCCAAGCAAGTACAGTGACCTGGGTTTGATTCCCAGACCCCATGTAAAGACGGCAAGGAGAGCAGACTCCACAAAGTTGTCCTGTGACTTCTATACACACCTCCACATACACACAATCCACCACCACCATCATCATCACCACCATAATAATAATAAATACAATTTCAACTTAAAGCCAAGTGCCTATAACCCTAGCACTTGAGAAGTTGAGGCAGGAAGATCATGAGTTCAAGGTTAGCCTGGGCCCCACAGTGAGACTCTGTCTCAAAATTTAAAATGGGAGATGGCTCAGTGCCTAAGAGGATTTGCTGTTCTTCAGAGGACCCAAGTTCGGCTCCCAGCACCCACACCAAGTGACCCAATGGCTCTGCACTCTACATGCCCCTGCACTCATGTATACACACCCACACAGACACAGACACAAGAATAACTGAACATAAAATAAAGCATAAAAACAATGGGAGCCAGACACAGTGGCGCACACCTTTAACCCAGCACTCAGGAGGCAGAGGCAGGAGGATCTCTGTGAGCTTGAGGCCAGCCTGGTCTACAGAGAGAAACCTTGTCTTGAACAGAGAGAAACAAATAAAAAAAATAATGGGGTCCCAATGCAGAGTCTGTGAGAGGCTGAAGTTCTGCTCTAAATGAGGTGCCAGGATGTCTGTTGTATTGCCGTTCTTAAAACTTACTCAATAATCAACAAGTGCCATTTAAAAATATTCTCTTTTAATGATAGTTTTCTGTGTGTGTGTGTGTGTGTGTGTGTGTGTGTGTGTGTGTGTGTGTAAACACAAGGACGTCAGAGGACAACTTGCAGGAGTTGGTTTTTTCCGGCCACTATGTGGGTCCTGTGGGTTAAACTCAGGTCACCAGGCTTGATGGCAGGTGACTCTGCCCACTGAGCCACCTGGCTGGGCCCCAGATATATTCAGTGGGAAGACGAATGTGCAGATCTGAGTAGAGTGAAACTGGAAATACCGCTCATTCTTGTTAAATAAACGAGACAGGAAATAGTGTACAACAGTTAAATAATTACGAAGAATATTTCCAAACATTAATGCAACACACACCCTAAGGGACCAAAGTGTTAATTATCAGATACTCGGAAGAATCAATAACAGATTAATTCAGAAGGGTGAAATCACAACAGGTGACGGGATTCTGACTCTTCTTTCTTTGTAATTTTCATAAATTCATAGGCAATAAGAATTTCACTGGGTGTTCACAGTGCACATCTTTAGGAGGAGGACATAAAACGTCCCCGTTCCATGCCTGAGCTGTAGAGACCGAGCTGGCCTTACCATGATGGTGGCTGTGGCCGTGGCATACTCTCCACCTCCCCAACACTCTCCAATGTTGGGACATCGGGCTTCCTCACAGACCTGTGGAAAGGGAAACACTGCATCAGGCTGAAAAGACTACCCACCATCAATGAAGTACAGGGATTTCCAGCTTTGTTTAAGATTATTGTTAGTATCGGTTTGTATGTTTGGGGGTTTGCCTGCATCTATGTCTGTGCACACACACATGCAGAGTGTCAAAGAGTCCAGCAGCCTGTCAGATCCCTGAAACTGGAGTTAGACATGGTTGTGAGCTGCCATGTGGGTGCTAGAAATTGAACCTGGGTCCTCTGGAAGAGTAGGCAGCCTATGGTCTTAACCACTGAGCCATCCCTCCAGGCCAGCATTAGGTAATTTAAACTGCCCATTGTTTCCAATGTATTTCAGAAGAAATATAATCAGGTTTCTTTGGCAGGTAAACATAAAGGGCAGCTAGGGACTGAACTGCTCTCTCACACTAAGCAAGCACTGGGTTATACTCTCAGCCCCTAAATGACTTTGTTTGTGTTTTCCGAGACAGGGTTTCTCTGTGTAGCCCAGGCTGTCCTCAAACTCACAGAGATCCACCTGCCTCTGGCTCCTGAGTGCTGGAGGCACCGCCCAGCTCTATGTCCATTTTTATTGCTGTAGCTACACTTCACTTTTCATCTTTACCCGCTCTCCTTGCTAATATTTATAACTCATTAATCATTTCTTTTTGGTCTGGTCTGGCACCACTTATCTTATAATCCAAGCACCTAGGAAGCTAAGACAGGAGAATCACAAGCTTGAGACCAATCGGGCCTATATAGTGAGCTCCAGGCCAGCCTATGCTAAATAATGAGACCATATCTCAGAAGCTTTTTGTTGTAAATATGGAGAAACAGCACAGCCCTGGGGTAAATCAGAGAGGAAATACACTGGCTACTTACTGTGTGGAGATTTAAATTCCGCAATGTGTTTTTCAGTTTATTGTAATTTTTACCCATGGGTATCTCTGTCTTTAACCATGGAGGCAGTCTTAACCTAGGGAAAGTCAAAAAGAACCATCCATTACCAACCTTTGGAAGACACAGAGCTTAGCTCCAGCAGTTCCCCAGTACAGCCTTTTCCATATTCCTGGACTAACTCAGTTCCATCCCAGGAATAAGAACAAAGACTCAAACTCAGGTCTGCTCCAGCTGCATTAGGAAACACTGATCATGGAGTCTAAGGGGGTGCTATGCTTAGAGCTACCTTATTCACAGGTGCGTTGCTATACTAGTCTAATTAAAGGACAGATACGTCTTTGAGGGTGTCCTTCCCTATGCATACCACTGTACCAGGCTTTCTCTTCTGGGCCACCAACCGGCTTCCAAATCATGACACAGAGACTTATTGTTACTTACGAATGCTTGGCCTTATCTTAGCTCTTACTTAATCTGTTTCTCTTTATCTATATTTTGCCTCGGGGCTTTTGACCTTTCTCCTCTCTCTCTCTCTCTCTCTCTCTCTCTCTCTCTCTCTCTCTCTCTCTCTCTCTCTCTCTCTCTCTCTCTTTCTGTATGTCCTACTTTCCTGCTTCTCATGGCTGGCTGGTGTGTCCCTCTCTTTCTCCCTCATTCTTTTTTCTCTTCTCCTCTCTCAAGCCTAGATTTCTCCTCCTACTTATTCCCTCTGCCCACCAGCCCCACTACCCCTCTATTCTCTAGCTGTTGGCTGCTCAGCTTTTTATTAGATCAATCAGGTGCCTTAGGCAGGCAAGGTAACCAGTGAAACAAATGTAACACATCTTTACCTAATTAAACAAAGGAGGCAGAAACAAATGTAGCACACCTTCACATACTTAAAGTAATATTCCACAGCATAAACAAATGTAACACATCTTTGCCCAGTTAAAATAACATTCCACAACATACTACAAATTACTACAGTAACTCCAAACAAGGAAGAGCCCAGCTGCACACTATCTACCCTGCATTCTAGATTCTAGTCATTAAGAAAGGGACATAACTTCCTAGTTGTGGTGGTTCATGTCTGTGATGCTAGAATTTAAACCATGGAGGTAGGAGGCTGGAGAGTTCAAGGTCAAATTTAACTACATAGTGAGTTCAAGGCCAGCCCAGGCTACATAAACCAGAAAATGACAAACTGAAAACAAAAGCTAGATCTAAAATCTGGAACGAGACTGTATCCTTGTTTCCCCCTTGACTGTATTCACTTGTGGTCTAGAAGTTGTTTGATAAGTATTTTTGAAAACCACCCTGTTCACCCAACCCTCACCACACTTCTCTTACTATTTCTGTTTATTGTGGTGATAGCAATCGAACCCTGAGCCTTCTGCATGCCAGGCAACCCTTTCATTACTAAAAAACAATAAAGGTAGAGTAACCGTAGGCTCTATGTAAACTTTCTCAGACAAGGAACAAGTTAGGGCCAGGCATGGTGGTGCTGGCTTTTAATCCCAGCACTTGGGATGCAAAGGCAGGCGGATCTCTGTGAGTTCAAGGCCAGCCTGGCCTACATAGTGATTTCCCGGTCAGCCAGGGCTCCACAGTGAGACCCTTTCTTAAAAAAAAAAAAAAAATTAGGTAAATCAATAAGTAAAACAGCCAGTGGTGGCACACGACTTTTATCCCAGTCCTTGGGAGGCAGAGAGGCAGGGGAATCTCTGAGTTCAAAGCCAGCCTGGTTTACAGAGTGAGTTCCAGAACAGACAGGAGTATACAAGAAACCCTGTTTTGAAAAACCAAATAAAATAAATCAATAATTACCAGGAGGAAAACTTTTCCAAGCCGGGCGGTGGTGGCGCACGCCTTTAATCCCAGCACTTGGGAGGCAGAGGCAGGTGGATCCCTGTGAGTTCGAGGCCAGCCTGGGCTACCAAGTGAGTTCCAGGAAAAAAAAAAAAAAGAAAAAGAAAAAAAAAAAACCTTTTCCAATTAGATGCTGGGTATAAAATGGGAGATCATAGTATAAAATGGTCAGGTCCTTTTAGAAAGGATAAAGAAAAATGGCCAAATGGTACAGAAAAAATAAAATGATTCTAATAGCTTTGCTCACTTATCCTGTTGAGATTTGTTATCACTTCTAGTAACTTCGGGTAAGTTTAACCTGTCTGAAGTTTAAAATCTACTACAGGGCTTGATTAAAAACTGCACAAACTCCAAGAGTGGGATACTAAAATGATACCTTCATATTCTATTACCTTTCTCCTTTCTGGCGCTTTAAGTTGCCTTTATATTCATCCCAGGTGCTCTTGTCCGCAAGATCACCAGATACAAAATCTTGAAGGTCTGGTCCAGTCTGTAAAAATTCCTTTTTTTTATCGGGCAAAGAACTTAATGCTCTAACCGGGCTGTATAAACATCTTCCCAATACCTACAGAAAAGGTTCATTACAACATTCATTCAGTAGACTCTGCAATTATTTAGTTTTAACCCATTATAAAACCAAAGCCAAAGAACTGATTCAGAAGTCATGTAAAAGGATTTAAGAGCTGAAACTATTTAGACTCTTCAAAAGACTCAAGGTTTAAGAACTCCTAGACACGGTGGCTCAAACCTGTAATCCAGCACTCAGAGGCAGAGGCAGGATTCAGGCCAGCTACAGAGAGCCTGATGCACCACCTGCCCCGACGGAAGGAGGTGGGGTGTGGGGTACGAGAGTAAGAGTTAACTGCTAAATATAGATTAGAAAACCTTAGGAACTGACTTAACGTGTTACATTTTCACGTTATTCCCTTTTTTTTGTTTGTTTGTTTTCTGAGACAGGGTTTCTCTGTGTAGCCCTGGCTGTCCTGGATCTCACTCTGTAGACCAGGTTGCTCTCGAACTCACAGAGATCCACCTGCCTCTGTCTCCCGAGTGCTGGGATCAAAGGCCTGCGCCACCACCGCCCGGAAAGTCTTAAGCCGGGCCCTAAAAGTTTGTGGTCAACAAGTTTAAACTGCGATCATTACGATACGCCACGGCTGGGAACGTTTTCTCCCTGAGTCGGGGAGTTGGAAAAAAAGGATATCTGGGCTGGGCCTTGGGATAAATCAACAGCCTTCCTGCAGCTCACCCAGGACCCCAGGCTGCGGGCCGCATCGCCGCGGCGCAGAGCAGACATCCCCTCTTTAGGTCTCAGAAGGCTCCAGGGCTCCAGGGCACCAGCACGCCCTGAGCAGGACGCGTCTGGGAAAAAAATACAAAACCAAAGCGCGTCGCTCGGCTGATGACGACGACACGTCGCCGCCCACCCCGCGCGGGTCGGCCTCTCCGGCGACGGACTCGTCGCGCCCGCCCGCAGCCCCGTCGCACGCTCGTGACGCCGCACGCCGCGCGCCGGGGGGCGGGGCCGCCGGGTTACAAGAACGTGATGACGGAGCACGTTCTCTCTTTGCCCCGTCTCCTGCGAGGTGAGCGGCGCCCGGCCTGTGCACCTTGGGAATCCGAGGCCATCCTCTCCGGCGGGGACACCGGCGGCCCCGGGCCCGCTGCCCCGAGTCCATGTCCCGGCCGCCCCCGAGCACGGCAGGCGTCCCTCGGACGCAGCGGCGCGGGCTGGACGCTGCGGCCCGGACTCCCGGCCGCGGCCCCTCCCGCCATGGCGCACCGGGCCGGGGCCTAACATCCCTGCCGGGCCGGCTCCCCCGATGGCACGGACCCCTTCGGGTGTCTTTGCCCCCGGATTTTCCACCCGGCGGTGCCCGGTGGGAGCGGAGCTCTGCCCCGAGTCCGGTGGGAGCGCGCTCCCCGGCCCAGCCTTCTTAAACCCCTGGGTGTTTGTGTTTCAGAATGAAGACCATTCTCAGCAACCAGACGGTCGACATTCCGGAAAATGGTAGGGGCGCGGGGGAGGACCTGATGGCTTTGGCCTTGACGCCCCTCTTGCATGCTCTTGAGCCTTGGCCTGTGTGGCCTCACGGCTTCGTCCTCTCTCTTCTAGTGGACATCACTCTGAAGGGGCGCACGGTCATCGTGAAGGGCCCCCGAGGAACCCTGCGGAGGGACTTCAATCACATCAACGTAGAGCTGAGTCTCCTCGGGAAGAAGAAGAAGAGGGTGAGGAGGAGGACTCCTCCCGTTGCTTCCTGATTCTCGGGTCGCTTGTGTGCAGGGTTGTTTAATTGTAAGGGCACGAGGTTTGATGCCTTAAGACCGCCGTGGTGGTGCAGCAGGCCTTTAATCCCAGCAGCGGGGGCGCAGATCTCTGCCAACCTGAGGCCAGTGAGTTCCCGGACAGCCAGGGCTACACAGTTGAGACTTTGTTCAAAAAAAAAAGTGGCTTTTAACTTTTAAAACTTTACCGATGGGGTGCCCGAACTTATAGGCAATTTTGCTTTGGGGAAATTATAAAACCAAACCTAATATTGTAAAGCCCGGTATCTAGTATTAATTTTCCAAAATATTATCATTTAAGTATTTTTCAGTCTCAGTCCTGGGGTGACCCTTATGTCTGCTCGATTTTTTGTTTGTTTTTGTGGTGGGGGAATCATTCTTATGTGAGAGCCCGTGTCTGTGACATACAGTGTATTATTGGTCATTCATAGGTGGTTTTGAATGCCCTTGTGGTAACCAGTTAAAAACTCTTAATTTAGTTCTGAAGTCTTGTTGTGTTACAGCTCCGGGTTGACAAATGGTGGGGTAACAGGAAGGAGCTGGCCACCGTCCGCACCATCTGCAGTCACGTTCAGAACATGATCAAGGGTGTTACGCTGGTAAGCCAGCCCATTGGGCTGCTTTTAAATCCTTTGGAAGAAGTTTCTTGGGTGTGTTTTGTATATACAGATGTCTAGTACCAGAATGGGCTGTGGACCCTGATAGAAGTTAGGCAGTTTTTTGTTTGTTTAGTAGGAAAGGGGCGTACCATGGATCAAGCCTAGGAATTTGCCTGGCAATCATGCTTCAGAACTTACTTTCTTAAATAGTCTGCTATAGTGTAGATTCGATTATTGGTTGGTATGTGTGGAACTTCTGGATAGAAAAGGTCTGACTTCTGCATATCTGATATCCTGCATATCTGATATCACTATTAGTTCAGAATCCATTCTCCAAAGATTAAGTTGATGCTGAAGGAGTTTGTTGCATAAACACACCCTGTACGTAACAGGTCTCTTCCGTTCCTGTTGGTTCGAGCTTCCCTGTTCCCATAGTTTCCTTGAAGGACCAGACTTTTTATTTAGCTTGCTAATCTGAAGTCTGTTCTGGTGTGTCTAGTAATTCAATAAAATCTAGTGCCAAAGATGAGGATCTTGGGCTCTCATTGAAAGAAGCAAGCCAGGATGGGATAGTAAAACACATGCTTCCTCCAGGAATATTCCTACCGAAAGACACAGTTGCTCCTTTGAAGTAAACGTCAGCTGTATGAGACTTGTTGCAGGTCACAGATGGCAGGTCGGGTGTGTTGTGTTAAGTTTTCAGGTTACAACAAAAGCACCTTAGAGAATTTGAGCTGGCCCTGGTGGCGCACAGCTGTGATCCTAGGGGAAGCTGGAGAAGGGGCCAGCCTGAACTGAATATGTTCTGAGATTGTTGAATATTTGTTTAATTCAGGGCTTCCGCTACAAGATGAGGTCTGTGTATGCCCACTTCCCCATCAACGTCGTCATTCAGGAGAATGGGTCTCTGGTTGAAATCCGAAATTTCTTGGGTGAAAAATACATCCGCAGGGTTCGGATGAGGACAGGTATGTGTGTGCCTTCAGGAATGATCAGCTGCTACAGTTCTTTCCTTGAGTCTTGGAGTGCTAGTGTTTGGCTGTGGTGAAGGTTATTTCAGAACTGTGTTACAGTAACTGCTAGCTTGAAAAGTTGTAGTTTGTAGGATAAAGCAACTTTGTGGGTGCTGGGAAAGAGTCTCTCACATCTGTAATCACAGTATGTTGAGAAGTCCAATCTAAAGTTGATGGGTGGCATGTAGTTTTAAATGAAATTGTGTTCTGTACGGGTCTCGTGTTAATCCTGTTGAATGCACATCTCTTTTAGGTGTTGCTTGTTCTGTCTCTCAAGCCCAGAAGGATGAATTAATCCTTGAAGGAAATGATATTGAACTTGTTTCAAATTCAGGTATGTGTGCTTATGTCTGTTATCTGGCAATTTTATCTAAGCCTTAAGGCTGAATGCATGTCTGATTTCTGTTTCAAAACTTCTGAGAGGTCAAACGTCATTCCAAATCTGTTCTGTGTATACTGCACTTTGTATCATGAATACGAGGTGGTGGGTATGCAGTCCTAAGTTGATGGGTAGCCTGTGGCTGGCTTTGTGTCTGTATTGGGGTGTGTGCTGCTGCACTCAGTTGAGAACTGAGGGCAGTGAAGGAGTCTCCATCCATCATGTAGGCTCCAGGGATTGAGCTCCAGTTGTTAGACTTGTAGATGAATTTGACTGGTGAAATAATGGCTTTATTTGCTTCTTCCTTTATAGCGGCTCTGATTCAGCAAGCCACGACAGTTAAAAACAAGGATATCAGAAAGTTTTTGGATGGCATCTATGTGTCTGAAAAGGGAACCGTGCAGCAGGCTGATGAGTAAGACCTCAGGTAGGTTCACGTATTTATAGTTGATGGAGCTTGTTAGACTGAAAGTTATTAAATCAATACTTGCCTGTAAAGTATATCATAAATGATATGATATACATAAATGGTATACTTCTGTATATAAAGAACAGAACTTTCTAGGCAGTAATATTGATGAAAGTTTATGTGTATTGTGTTTCTTTTTACAGTTACCCTGCTCCAGAAACAAGATTCTTCATTTAAGTACGATTTGGGGTGTCTTTTGGGACAATAAAAGACTTGTATTAATTTGGTGCATGCTTGATCTTTTCTGATTAGTTAGCAAATAGGTAACTGCTCTTCGAGAAACACAACAGATTTTTTTTTTTTTCTTCATGGAAACAAGTGGCTTAAAAGAATAACAAGACACTTCAGATAACAGGATGTAGTATCACTGACAGGCAGTCATCCTGGTGAATGTTCAGTGGGCACTTTGGCCCAGGCATAATGACTGTTTGGTGTGCGGATGTGTCTCAGGAAGGGCTGAGAAGTGACAGTCAGGGTGGAGTCTTGGTAGTCCTCAGTACTTTCTTGGCCGTAATTCAGCTCTGAGGTTGATGGAGGATCAGGCATTGGGGGCCAGCATGGATTACATGCTTGAAGCAGTGAACTTGGGGTTCCTTTTTAACATTGGGGTTTGCAGGCTTTGAATATAGTATTCTAGACATAGTAAGCCCGTGTTTTGTGTAAATTACTTCCTACCCACCTGGTGAAGAGTGGACCCAGCAAACACTGAGGGTTATCCCCCAGACCTATAGTAACTTTCTTGGACAAGTTCTGTCATGGCCTCAAACTCCTAATCCTCTTGCCTCCACCTACTCAGTGCTTCTAGGATCACAGGCAAATGCCACCACACCCAGCTTTTGATGGCCTCAGGAGAAAATTGTCGTTTGTGTGTGTGCATGTACATGGAATTGGTGTGTGGGCCCTATTGCCCTTTCACCTTGTGTTTGAGGCAGTGTCTGTCTTCCCCAGTGCTAGGGTGCAAACTGCCCAATTAACTATGCTTCCTGTGTGTCCAGAAGTGTCAGTTCCCCTGGAGCTGGAATTACACAGGGGAGTGATTGTCAACCACTAGATGGAGTTGTGGGAGCTGAACTCTGGAGGAGACGCATTAACAATTGCTGGGTGGTGGTGGTGCACCCCTTTAATCCCAGCACTCAGGAGGCAAAGGGACCAGGGTGGCCTCAAACTCAGAGATCCACCCACCTCCCGGGTACTAGGATTAAAGGTGTGTGCCACCATGCCTAACCAGTATATTTAATCCAAGCTAGGTTTGCCATAACTCATACCCAGCTAAATCCTACAAGCTATGGCCACTGGTAGAGGCCTGTCCTTAATCCATGGCAGAAAGGTCAGGAATTTGAGGCTATGTGAGACCCTGTCTCAACCACAAGAAGGCCAGGTTGTAGCTCAGTTGACAGTGCTTTCCCAGTATTAATAAAGCCCCAGCATTGCATGTAGGTGTGGCATGTATCTGTAATCCTAACCTTGCAGAAGGACAAGGGCTTCAAGGCCAGCCTCAGCTACATATTTGACCAGTTTGACAGACACCATTCACCTCCAGCCAGATTGTTCAATATAAATAATTGACGTCAACCAGGTTGTTTGATAGCACTGAAGGTTAAAACCTTTAGACACAAGGTTCTCACCTCATTTCCCAGAGGCTAAACAAACACCAGCTAAGGCAATATTTAAAGATTTAATGAAAGATGGGTTTTATTGAGTATGTAAAATGTGGCATAATCTTTTTCTGCAGCTACTCAATTGAGTTAGAAATGTTCTCATTATCAGCAGTCAAACCTGGCATCATGTGTGTGCTAGGCAAGTACTATGTACCACTGAGCCATATTCCCAACCTGTGCCTTGGAAACTCAATGCATTTGCTATCACTAGATCGTGACCTAAGGGTTTTCATATGATCCTTTAAAATGGGTAACTGCACATACACACACTCCCCCACCCAAGTTGGCAGCATTGGGCTAGGAACTTGACATATGGGGGACTCAGCAAGGCAAGTTTGGGAGGGAAGGACGTGTTCTAAGCTTAGCTTAGTGGGAGCACATTAAGGAGGAAAGGTTTTAGGTGGATGTGTGGTGCATCCCTGTAGTGGAGTTGGAAACCGTAACTGAACTGGGCATGATAGTGTGCACACCTTAATCCCAGTGCTCTGAGGCTGAGGCAGGAGGATCACTGGCCAGTTTGAGGCCAGCCTAGTCTATATAATGACACCCAGTCAAACCTTGAACATATTACTTGAATTAAGGATTGATGCCAAGTTCTTCGTTAACTCCTATTGCTTGCTGCATTTTTCAAGGCTAACATGGAAGCTTATAAATTTTAAGAGGTCAATAAGATGATTTTAAGAAACTTATGGGCCGCACGCCTTTAATCCCAGCACTCAGGAGGCAGAGCCAGGCGGATCTCTGTGAGTTCGAGGCCAGCCTGGGCTACCAAGTGAGTTCCAGGAAAGGCACAAAGCTACACAGAGAAACCCTGTCTCGGGAAAGAAACAAAAAACAAAAAACAAAACAAATCAAAGTTTTTCTGGAGTGAATTCCTGTGAAAAACCCAAGGAGGGCTACCTCAGTTGTTAAGAGCACTAATTGCTCTTGAAGAGGAGTTGGGTTTTATTCCTAGCACCCACTATGGAGGCTCACAACCATTTGTAACTTCAGTTCTAGAAGATCTAGTGTACTCTTTTTGACCTCCAAAGGTACCAGGTGCACATCCATACGTGTATGCAGGCAAAATACTCAATTCCAGGAAGGTTTTTCCCCCCCCAAAAAACAAGTGATTCCTAGCCTTTCTATGTGGCTAACAATACAGCTGTCCAGCCAACTGCAATGGGTGTTACTGTGCACAGTTCTCAAAGGAGAGAAAAAGATTGTTTCAAGATCTACTTAGGAACTACTAAGGAGATAGGCAGGGGAGTTCAAGGTCAGCCTGATCTGTGTAGTGAATTCCAGGCCAGCCAAGGCTATCCAGTCAGAACCTGTCTCAAAAAACCCCAAACATGGCGGGCCTGGCAGTGGTGGTGCACGCCTTTAATCCCAGCACTTGGGAGGTAGAGGCAGGCGGATCTTAGTGAGTTCGAGGCCAGCCTGGTCTACAAATCGAGTTCCAGGAAAGGCGCAAAGCTACACAGAGAAACCCTGTCTCAAAAAACAAACAAACAAACCTAAGAGCTGCTCAGTGTTGATGAGCATTGGCTGTTCTTAGAGAGGATCCAGGTTTCGTTCCAGCACCCACATGTTGACTCACATCCATCTGTACCTCCAGTTGCAGGGATCTGATGCCTCTTCTGGCTTCCAAGGACACTAGGCATACAAGTAGCACATACATGCACGTAGGCAAAACATCCATACACATTTTTAAAAGGAAAAGCCAAAGACTGGACTGGTGGTGGTTGTGGGAACCAGAAGTAGAGAAGCACAGATTTATTGTTAGATTTGGCTAGTCCAATAGCAACTTTATTTCTCATTACTTTTGCCTCAGAGCGCTGGGATTAAGGTGTGTGCACTGTCATGCCCAGTTCAGTTACGGTTTCCAACTCGACTGCTTTTGCACGTGCTGTTTCTATGATCTTTGAAAATTAGTGATGATTACTAAGAATCATAATTCTGCATCAGGCGGTGGTGGCACATGCCTTTAATCCCAGCACTTAGGAGGCCAGCCTGTTCTACAGAGTAAGTTCCAGGATGGCCAGGGATAGAGAAACCCTGTCTCCGTTGGGGGTGGGATCCTAATTGTGTCTTAAATTTGACATCTAACAATAGGTAGATCTGGAGTACAGTTAAAATCACCTTGCATTTTAGGATGGCTTCTTACTAAGGCTCTTTGTGGAAGAGCCACTTTCTTGGGGGTGGGATCCTAATTGTGTCTTAAATTTGACATCTAACAATAGGTAGATCTGGAGTACAGTTAAAATCACCTTGCATGTTAGGATGGCTTCTTACTAAGGCTCTTTGTGCAAGAGCCACTTTTCTTGGACTCCTACGTCTGAATTCCTGGAGAGAGTTGACAGTGACTGGGTAACATGGTTATTCACATTTGACTTGAGAGAATGGATGTGGATGGGTACACATTCAGATCACTCCTAGTGTTTGTAATCAAGCGTAGTTCCTTAAATACAAAAATATCCAAATTGAGATTTACTTAGTGCTAGCCTTAAAAGGTAAAATAAAATTAACTCATTCAAACTAACATGCTAGATTCATCAGTCACAGTGACTTGTTCCAGATATCATAGTTGTATTCAGTACCTATGTGCATAAGGAAGTTATGAAGCTGTAGGGGACAGAGCAGGACTCTAAATAACGGTAAGGTCTTTGGCCTTTACCCATAGTAAAATCTGTGTCTTTTTAACTTTCCTAACATGCTAAATCTTCTCACCTCAAAATCAGGGGTCAGGGGTAATGTCTGGCTTATTATAAAATGGAAATTGCTATGCTGCAAGGCTAAGTGAGCTTGCTCTTCACAGACAAGTGGGTCTAGTTGTCTAATGAGTTATGAAAGCTACTTTTAAAATCAGGAGTCCAAGCTGAGTATGGTGGGCACCCCTTTAGTCCCAGCACTCTGGAGGCAGAGGCAGGTGGATCTCTGAGTTCAAGACCATCCTTGTCTACAGAGCAAGTTCTAGGATAGTAAAAGCTACACAAAAACACCCGTCTTGAACCTCCCCCCAATCAAGTCCATTAAGAGAGCTCACAAAATTGAATGTTTAAGAAATGCCCGGGTTTTGTGTTTGATTTTTTGAGAAAAGCTAAGATTGGTGTGTTTTAGATCTTATGCTTTAACTACCTATGGACAAACATGATCTGAAATCCTGTTGTGTTTCTACATTCCATCTGAAGACTATCTGACCTAAACAGAAGAGCACCTTGTTAGCAGTGACAGCATATGTCACTAACTGTCCAGTTTAAAGAAGAGTTTTAGCTGGGCGGGGTGGTGTACACCATTAATCCCAGCACTCAGAAGGGTGAAGCAGGTGGATCTTTGTGAGTTCCAGGACAGCCAGAGCTACACAACAGACCCTGTTCAAAAACAACAACAAAATAGTTTTAAACTATGAAGTCTAAAACAATAAAATTTCACTTTTTAAAATTAATTCCTTTACCACGAATAGTGATTGCTATTTACAGAAGAGAGCTAGAGAAAAAGGATGGGAAACAGCGCTTCACACTTCCTGAAGCCATGTTTGGGGTCATCCCCAGGATTACTGTCAGGATGAAGCCTTCAGCCCTAAGAACTGAATTCACTGATTGTCAATACCTAAGGGAATGATTTGAACCACACTGAAGGGCATCGATTGTCATCACCTTGGTTACGGCTGTCTCTCACATTGTAAGTTACCAGTATATGGAACTGGAGTGAATCTTTAAACTATGTCAGAAATGATAGTTTAGCTAAAGAACTCTGCTCTGGCCTTTCTTCAATGGTATATTTTGTAAGTTCTTTGCTTTCCGAAATTTTCTTTTCTTTCGATGATGAAAAATGGTGATTGACAGCAGCAGAGCCAGCGTGGAGATGAAGCAACAGCCGAAGAAGATGAGTGATCTCTTCTGGGTGAGGTACGAGCAGAGGGTGCACTCTGTGCCCGCTGGAGGCCGGCCGCATGCGGGGCTGCTGGGCTCAGAGGGGAAGCCACTGTTGCTGATCACCTTGCTGTAAAACTCAACAGAGGACTTAGCTTTGAATTCAGATGTGAAAAATCCAAATCTAGGCTTTGATTTCTCTTCAGTCAGTTTGAATGCATAATAACCTTTGATTTTGACCTTGTCGATGAGGTATGCTAGAAAAAAAAAACAAAAAACAGAAAAGAACATTGTGATCACAAATAGACAGTAAAGTATCTTTGAATAAGAATTTAGTTTTAGTTTTTGCCAGGTGGTGGGCGTGCCTTTAACCCCAGCACTTGGGAGGCAGAAGCCAGGCAGATCTCTTTGAGTTCGAGGCCAGTCTGGGCTACAGAGTGAGTTCCAGGACAGGCACCAAAACTACACAGAGAAACCCTGTCTTGAAAAACAAAACAAACCAAAAAACAAAAAAGAATTTAGTTTTCAGGGGTAGAGAGATGGCTCAGTGGTCAAGAGCACTGACTGCTTTTGCCGAGGACCTGAGTTCAATTCCCAGCTCCCACATGGTGGCTCCAGGGGATCTGATGCTCTGTCTTGACCTCCACAGGCACCAGGCACACATGTGGTAAACATATGCATGGAGGCAAAACACTCATACACAAAATAAAAATATAAAAAGAAGAATTTAGTTTTTATTGAAACTAAGGTCAGGTCAATAAGTCATTAAGGTTTTGTTTTGGAGACGGAATCTCATGTATTCCAGGCTGGCCTCTAACTCCCTATGTAAGCAGAAGACCACTGTTAACTTGTGACCCTCCTACCATGTCCTCCAGAGGGCTGGGATTGCATGCGAGGCAGACACCACCAACTATGTCCACAGTCCCTTTTGGTTGTTTCTAGTCCCCAAAACATTTCCATATATTGAGCAATCTCCTCTAAGGAGGTAATTAGAAATGGCATTTCTGCACAAAGACAAATTTTTCAGTGGGGTGGTTCTCCCACCTAAAGAATGATTGAATACGTGACATGCTTATTAATAGGACGTTAAGCATCCATTAACATTCTTGAGAGCTTTTAATGACATGAAACACATCTAATGTTTTAAAAGGTGGGGCAGGTGTGGTTACACATGTCTGCAACCTTAAGTGGAGGCAGCAGAGGCGGAACAGGAGTTCATGACAAGCCTAGGGTACATGAGACCCTCCGTCTGGAGAGTAAGTCAACTGCATGGCTGTTTTGTGGTTCCCTGGTAGGTTGATTGCTTAGCGCACATAAAGCCCAGCACTGCACACACAAAAGTTAGGGGCTGGGCATGTAGGCCAGTGGTAAAGTTCTTGCCTCATATGCATGAGGTCCTTGGTTCAATTCCCAGCTCCACAGAAACAGAAGGGTTAGGGATATGGGGTGTAGCTTTTAGTACGGCCAAAAGGACCTGAGTTCCACTCCCCAGACAAGCAAACAAGGTGTACGCAAAGGGTAACAGCTTGAGCTCAAGTGTATTAATATCTAAGAAGGCCGGGCAGTGGTGGTGCACGCCTTTAATCCCAGCACTCCGGAGGCAGAGGCAGGCAGATCTCTGTGAGTTCGAGGCCAGCCTGGTGTACAGAGCGAGAGCCAGGACAGGCACCAAAAACTACACAGAGAAACCCTGTCTGGGGAGGGGGGTGAGCCGCACTGGAAGTAATCCAAAATTCATTGTGTTTTTCTTGGGAAGTGAAATTTTAGGTGTTATTTAGTGGGGGGAAATGCTTTCCAAATTTTCCATAATGAGTTTATGCCACTTGATGAAAGTCCAGATGTGGTGATCTAGGCTTGTAATCCCACTTCTTGGAATGCTGAGGCAGGAGGAGAGGGGTCAGCCTGCACTGGAGGCCAGCCTGGGTGACTAGTTAGACCCTGTCTAAAAAAACATTAATGATGAAATTAAAAATTAAGCTGGGCATGGTGGTGCATGCCTTTAATCCTGACACACAGTAGGCAGAAGCAGGTGGTTCTCGGTGAGTTTGAGGCCAGCGTGGTCTACATAGTGGGTTCCAAGACAGTCAGGACTAAAGAGACTCTCAAAAAAAAAAAAAAAAAAAAAAAAAAAAAAAAAAAACCCAACTAAAAATTCAATAATAAAGGCCCATTATAAGGAGGAAATGCAGTGGTCAGGAGCCACAAATCTGAATTACTGGTGATCTTTGTGCCCAGGTTTCCGATGCTGTCAATTCATCCACCTCTCCCACCTCACCGCATGTGCGCTCCCAAACCTCACCTTTCAGAGCCTCCTGGATGTACTTCTCCAAGTAGTACTTGCGGATCCGATCGTTCTCCAGAGCCAGATCATCGATGCCGTTGGCTGTGATGTAGATGTCCATGTCCCCGTAGTTCCTCCGGACCCACGCAAGCAGCTTGCGTACTCCCCAGGGCGTTACAGCCAGGCGGCTGGGCGAGCTCAGGCGGGTGATGTCCTGCAGGAACTGGACGTCCCTATCTGCCACAGAGCGGCTGCTGTTCAGCTGCTTGTGTATCACGAACCTGGTCGTGAAGTGGTTCAGCGCATAGAAGTCGATGGTGCCCTTCACCAGCCTGCTCTCCTTGTGGGTGAAGCGCGGCAGGCCGGAGCTGGACAGCCCTCGCTGGTTCTTAGAGGCAATATACTCCTTCATGGCCAACGGGTAGTCCCCAGTCTTGAAGAGCGGATCCGCGAACCAGGCGATCTCAAACTGCAGGAAGCGCTCGGCTGCCTTCCAGTGTGAGTCCACATAGGGGTTAGCAGGTTCCGCCCAGTCGGAATGTAGGGAGAGCGACACTGCCCCACGCTGGACCGGCCTATACAGCCTGTCGTAGAGGCGCCAGACCTGGGCGTGGGCGATCATCAGGTTATGGGCTGCACGGTAGGTGTCGTTGTTCGTGCGGTTGTACATGTCACTCAGCCTATTAGGCTCGTTAATGGTGATCCAGAGCTTCACCAAGTCCCCCAGTTCCCGGAAGCAGAGCCCTGCGTAGTCCTGGAAGGCCTGGGCGGTGTATGGGTTCAGCCATCCCCCGCTGCTCAGAAGCGGCTCAGGGAGGCCTAGGTGGGAGTGGGTGGGGTGGTACAATGTCACCATGGGGGAGACGCCCAGCTTCAGTCCTTCACTCAGGATACACCGGTAGTACCTTAGCACTTGTCTATTAACTTGAGACAGATTGCCAGTGGGAAGGATAGAGGTCCAGTCCAGAGCAAACTGGTAGTGGGTGACTTTCATTTTGGCCAGCATCTCAACTCGTTTTTTGATGCTCACGTAATCTGTGCAGTGGGACGGCCTTGTTTTTAGCATTACTCCTTCCACTCGCTGCAGCAATCTGTCGCCCGTGGCGTTCCACACATACAGGTGAGGGTCGATAAACTGTGGGGAGGACACCATGAACTCCGGCTGTGGAAAGCAAGCCCATTCAGGTAAATCGAGTGTGTCTCCTGCCATATCCCACCCGCTCAGATCGGAAGAACTGAGCTTACGAAGCAAGATAATTACTTTGTCCTTCATAATGGTCTCTGTTCCGGCTGTACTGCTGGTCACATGGGAGAAGCGCCTTGTCCTAGCCCTTCAAATCTCCAGGGAGACCAGGAAATGCAGGGAAGGAACCACAGAGAGGAGAGGGAGAGCAGTTGTTTGACAAAAGCCTAAGAGGCCGTTTTCCGGCTCATTTGACCTACAAATCCGGGTTATATGGCATCCCGTGTGATGGTGTTGAAATGCATCAGGAAAGTGGCCTGGTGCCCTCAGTTGAGGGCGGTTATGAAAGATGGATTCTAAGTCCTGCCCTCAGCTGATGAGAGGTAAAAATGAGGATGTAAAGGACCCACTGAGGGCAGCCCCTGCATTCAGAGGAGAGCCAGACCGTCCCTGAAAGACGCCGTGGGAGGGGGTGACAGGAGGTAGTGACGCTTTGCATGCACTGACCACAACTCTCAGCAGGTCTTGTTTGAAAAGTCCAAGCGATAGCCTAGAGTAGTGGTCATGTGTAGATGTAACCAACCGTCTTATTAAATAAGAAACACATAAAATACCACCATAGTCATGTCTATAATCTCAGCTCCCAAGAGGCTGGAGCAGGAGGATTACTATGAGTGTGAGGCCAGCCTGGGCTATATAGCAGAGACTACAAGATAAATAACTTTGTCCTTCGTAACGGTCTCTGTGTTCTGCTATTCTGTTTATAATATGGGACAAAAAAGCTTTATCCTTCTAACCCTTCAAAAAAATTTTTTAAAGGAAGGAAGGTCCAAGGATAGCCCATTTTCACACAGTATCTCCTCCACCATGTGTCTGTGAGCATGGCACTCACTCAGCAGCAGAGTATGGAATGTTCTCCCTGTGCAAGGAGCTTCAGTTATGAGGGGGAAAGACAGTGAGATAACCTCAAATCCTGAAGATTGACTTTGGATCTCCCAGCCTTTCTGCCTCGGAGACTCACAGACTTTTCTGTCTTCCTTTTCCTTTGTGTGTGTGTGTGTGTGTGTGTGTGTGTGTGTGTGTGTGTGTGTGTGTATGTGTGTGGCGGCTCATACAGCCCAGGCTAGCCTTAAGCCTAATAAGTACCTGAGGATGACCTGGAACTCCTGCTTCTCTTGTCTCCATTTCCCAAGTGTTGGGCTTACAGGCATATAGTGCTCCACCTAGTTAATTCCATGCTAGGGATCAAACCCAGGGCCGTGTACATGTTAGGCAGGCACTGTACCAACTAAACTATATCCTCAGCCCTGAATCTCCCCCTTTGAGCTTCGGCTGTACAATCAGATGGGGATGGTCCTGTGTCACCCCCCAGGTGCACTGTGGGGAAGGCAGGGTCTCAACTGGAAGCCATCATAGAAAGGTAAGGTGGCCAGGCGGTGGTGCACGCCTTTAATCCCAGCACTCGGGAGGCAGAGCCAGGTGGATCTCTGTGATTTCGAGGCCAGCCTGGACTACCGAGTGAGTTCCAGGAAAGGCGCAAAGCTACACAGAGAAACCCTGTCTCGAAAAACCAAAAGAAAAAAAAGAAAAAGAAAAGAAAGAAAGGCAAGGTGACTTGGGTTTAGTTCCAGAACAGCCAGGGCTACAAAGAAACCCAGTCTCAAAAAACTAAGAAAAGAAAAGAAAAGAAAAGAAAAGAAAAGAAAAGAAAAGAAAAGAAAAGAAAAGAAAGGAAAAGAAAAGATGTAAGAAGAACATTTCCAAATTCGAGATTAATTAGAGCAAGGAAAAAAAATCTGCACTTGGGTTAAAGTACTTCCCCCCTGTGGCTGAATTTAAATGCACCAGGAAAAATGGTGATTAACCTTTGGTAAATATTTCCCTTCTAATTGTTTTCTCGTGTGTCATCTTTCATAGTCTAATTACAAGGTCATATTATTGCCCACTTGCCATCTGCCAGCCAGTTATCTAGAACATTAAGCAGAGAGAACATTGACCATGTGAGCATGAAGTTCAGCCTGTGCATAGTGAATGACCTCAGCAGTCTTCCCAGCTAAGGCCAGCTCCAGTGTTTCAAAAAGTTGCGAACGTCCCAGTATCGTTGAAAAGATGTTCATAAAAGGTCATTTCGCCACAAAACAAGGCAAGATCAGGCAAAATGCCCTGCACTCTACAGACCCCCAGAAAACACTAGCTGTGGACAACACAGGTGGTTATCTGCTAAGAGTCCACATAAACATGATGCACTCCAAGTGGAAGAGGACCAGCAGGAGAGTGAGGGATGTGATGGGGAGGTGACCGTGACAGAAGTGCATTGTACACACATGTGAAGGGGTGATACTGAACACACTAGTGTAATTAACATGTGACAATGAAAACCAGGGGATTCAGGCTGGGGAGGTGGCTCAGGGTGTGGAACACCTACTCAGTTAGTCTGGTGCTCCGAGTTCAAATCCCTCACACCCAGATAAAGGCGGAGGGAAAGAACCAACTCCACAAATTTGTCTTCTAACCTCCCCAAATGCCGCAATATGCACTGTGCTGGTTTGAAAGAAAATGGCCCCCAAAGGAAGTAGCGCTATCAGGAGGTGTGGCCTTGTTGGAGGAAGCGTGTCACTGTGGGGGCGGGCTTTGAGGTCTCTTTTCTCAAGCTTCCCTCAGGGTGACAGTCAGTTGACTTCCTGTCGCCTGCACTCTCAGCTCCAGCTCCGCATCTGCCTGCACGATGCCATGCTCTCCACATGGTGATGATGGACTGAACCTCTGAAACTGTAAGTGAGCCACCCCAATTAAATGCTTTTTTTCTAAGAGTTGCCGTGGTCGTGGTGTCTCCTTACGGCAATAGAAACCCTAGCTAAGATATGCACCACGTTACATATGCAATTAAATGTAATAACGTTTTTAAAAACCACGACTCAGGGTTGGAGAGATGTCTCAGCAGTTAAGAGCACTGACTAGTATTTCAGAGAACCTACATGGATGTTTATGACTATCTGTATATCCTGTCCTAGAAGATACAGTAGTGCCCTCTTCTGGCCTCTGTGGGCACCAGGCACGCAGACACACATGCAAGCAAAACATCCAAACACGGGACATTTGTAAAAACATGTTGTACCCTCTCTCCCCTAGTGTGTGATTAATCTAGAAGCAGCCACTTACCTTAAGAACAGACTCGGTGACCCCCCAGGAAAAGTCACAGGGAAACTGGCCCTGCACGTCTGGCATGGACTCTCTCAAAGGGAAACCGTTTTCTTGTATGATCTGTTTGTAGTAACGTGCCGAGGTCTTGGGTTTCCTCTCCTTCTGCTCACTATTAAAATCCACATAAAACAGTCCTCGGCGGGTCCTGTAGGCATCCTGCCATTCAAAGCCGTCCAGGAGTGACCAGGCTGTGTAACCAAACACTCGGATTTCATCAAACTTGATTGCTGCACGGAGAAAAGGAAGCAGGGATTTTCAGCTTCATTAACAACAAGCAAGGCCGGACATATCACAGCAGCAACACTTTTGCTAAATACCAGGCCTTTTAAATCAAACAAAAAAATTGTTGGTTTGGGGCACCTGCCACAAAGCTTGCCAACATCAGTCAGAGACCTGAATGGTGGGAAGGGAAAAGTTGTCCTCTGACTTCCAAGTGTACCTCACACACAAAATAAATAAACACTACACACTCTCTAACAAACAGATGACAGTTAAGGATCTCATTAAAAACATTTCTGATAGTTAAAAAAAATATTCTATTTTATTTTGTAAGACATGGTTTCTCTGTGTAACAGTCTTGGCTGTCCTGGAACTTGCTTTGTAGACCAGGCTGGCCTCGAACACGAAGAGATTCACCTGCTTCTGCCTCCCAAGTGCTGGGATTAAAGGTGTGTGCCACTACTGCCCGGCTATTTAAATTTTTTTTTAATCATGTTGTTTAGCAGGGTATAATGGTACTTGCCTTTCATCTCAACACTCAGGAAGCAGAGGAGGGCAGATCTCTGAGTTCAAGGTTAACTTGGTCTACATATTGAGTTCCAGGTCAGCCAGAGCTACATGGTGAGACCCTGTCTCAAATTTTAAAAGAATGGGGGAGGGCTGTATTTAGTGTGCAGATCTGTGTCCTGGGGCATGGGGCATCTGTTTCAGAGCCTTTGGGGATGTAGATGTTACTAGTGACCTGGACTTACTCATTCTGAGTTTGGGCAGGTTCCTGCTTGTGCATGACTGTCCATTCTGCGATATTGTCCTTCAGGGACTGAAATACCAGCTCTCAGGACGAACACAAGCAAATGCAGACAGGAGGCGTGGAAGGCAGAGGCGTGGTGTTAGAAGTGGCTGGGCTGAGGGGCAGCAGGTCCAAGGCCAGGTCCCGCCGGGTCTGTGGGAGGGAGCTATTGGGCAAGGTTTGGAATGGCTGCTTCCTCATTTGCAAACAGAAAATATTGGAAAAGATAATCCCTAAGGACCTTTCTCACTAGGTAAAAATGAGATACGGAGACTTTGATCCCAGCACTTGAGAGGCAGAGGCAGGCAGATCTCTGCGAGTTCAAGGCCAGCCTGGTCTACAATGAAAACTGAAATTAGCCCTGAATCATTTTTAAAAAGTTATTATTTTTGCTTATTAACAAAAAAATCATTTCATGTGCAGGAGTATTTTGCCTGCATGTGTATCTGTAAACTACCTATGTGTCTGTGTACATGGCAGCCAGAACAGGGAATCAGATCCTCTAGAATGGAGTTATAAACAGTTGTGAGCTGCCATGTGGGTGCTGGGAATTGAACCCAGGACCTCTGCAAGAGCAGCCTCAACCCACCTTGAATCATTTTAATTAAAAAAAAAAACCAAACAAACAAACAAAAATAAAAACAAAAAAACCCCACCCTTAATTTCTCTCACAGAAATGCCTCATTTCTGCATTCTGGGGCTTTATCATTAACACTTTTTTTAAAAGGTAGAAAATTGGGGAGCTGGAAAGATGGTTCAGAGGTTAAGAGCACTGGCTGCTCTTCCAGAGGTCCTGAGTTCAATTCCCAGCAACCACATGGTGGCTGACAACCATTTGTAATGAGATCTGGTGCCCTCTTCTGGCCTGCAGGCATACATGCAGGCATGACACTGTATACATAATAAATAAATAAACCTTTTTTTTTTTTTTTTAA